ATTTTATATATTTAATAATTACTATTCATATTTAAAAATTAAAATTTATTATGAAAATTTATTAAATTTAATTAAAATATAATATTAATTTTTATATAAAAATAAAAACTAAAATCATACTAAACAATCCTTAACTAGTGGTGTTTGCAACCAATAGAAATAGGGTTCTTACTTAGGTCCATTGGTCAAATGTAACACCATAATTAATGTTAGTGGCCTAAATAGTCGATGCCCATCAAAATCATCTATTATCATTAAGAACAATCTTCCATTTAGGAACTGACTTTGTATTTTAAAAATTATAAATGTAATAAAAAATTAAAAAAAAGTTTATTAATTGAATTTTTAAAAATTTATTAAAAATATTTAAATAATTTTATAAGAGATTCTAATTTTAATTTTTTTTCTTTTGTTTTATTTTAATAAAAATATTCTTATTTAACAATTATTCTTTTTGCAGCTGGGAAATTACCAAAAACCAACGGCATTCCATGGAGGGGGGACTCAGGGCTGACGGACGGCAACAACACCGATTTCAAATGGGATTTGGTCGGCGGCTACTACGACGCCGGAGACAACACAAAGTTCCATTTCCCCATGTCATTCGCCATGACCATGCTCAGCTGGAGCGTCATCGAATACGAGCACAAGTACCGGAGCATCGGCGAGTACGACCACATCCGAGATCTCATCAAATGGGGCACCGATTACCTCCTCCTCACCTTCAATTCCTCCGCCACCAAAATCGACAAAATCTACAGTCAGGTCGGGGGGTCTCAGAACGGCAGCACAATCCCAGATGACCATAATTGCTGGATGCGGCCGGAGGACATGGATTATAATCGACCTGTCCAGACCACAACTGCCGGGCCTGATCTCGCGGGCGAGATGGCGGCGGCGCTAGCGGCTGCCTCAATCGTGTTTCGCGACAACGATGCGTACTCTAAAAAGCTAGTCAAGGGAGCTGAAACGGTGTTTGCTTTTGCCCGGGATCCCAGTCGCCGGAGAAGATACTCTGAGGGGAACCTTTTCATCGAACCCTATTACAACTCCACCGGCTACTTCGACGAGTACATGTGGGGTTCGGCGTGGCTGTATTACGCCACCGGAAACAATTCCTACATTTCCCTTGCCACGAACCCAGGACTTCCGAAGAATTCCAAGGCATTTTATATGCTTCTTGGGCAGAGTGTGCTCAGCTGGGATAACAAGTTACCGGCGGCGATGCTGCTGTTGACGAGGTACCGGATTTTCTTGAATCCCGGCTACCCTTATGAGGATATGCTGAAAATGTACCACAATGTTACCATTTTGAACATGTGTTCGTACCTTGAACAATTCAAAGTCTTCAATTGGACTTCGGGAGGGATGATCGAACTTCAGTATTGGAAGCCACAGCAGCCGCTTCAGTATGTAGCCAACACCGCCTTCTTGGCCTCACTTTTTGCAGATTACTTGAATGCCACCGGCGTTCCGGGGATGAACTGCGGTCCATATTTTATCCCGTCCGATGTTCTCCGCAGCTTTGCAACTTCTCAGATGGACTACATTCTGGGAAACAACCCCATGAAGATGAGCTATGTGGTGGGGTACGGTAGCAAGTTCCCTAGACATGTGCATCACCGCGGCGCGTCTATACCCCACAACGGCAAAAAGTACTCTTGTACCGGGGGATTCCAGTGGCGTAATACTCCGAATCCGAATCCCAACAACATCACTGGAGCCATGGTGGGAGGTCCTGATAGGCTCGACCAGTTCAAAGATGTAAGGACGAATCATAACTATACTGAGCCGACGATGGCCGGAAATGCTGGATTGGTGGCTGCACTTGCATCCCTCACAACAACTGGTGGCACTGGCATTGACAAGAATACCATCTTTTCAGCAGTTCCACCACTATACCCTCCCAGCCCGCCACCCCCTGCGCCTTGGAAGCCTTGAACTGCATTGTTTTCAAAATAGTTAGGTCTATGTTACATTGCGTCCATTGTCCTCGAAATTTTGTTCGTTTGTTCTTTTGTTCATCTCCTGTTTTTAGGAATGTAGTAAGAAGACACATCATTCTTGTATAAAAATTGGCACTCTGCTACTTCTAACTCACTCTGACCCTCATAATATACAAAAACACGACCGTTGTAGAATTCCATTATTAAGCAAGGAAAAACGAATATGAACGGTATTTGAGGCTAAAACCAAATATAATTCATATTCTGATTGCAACATTCATGCCATACAACCAAAAGTTAAGATATCAATGTGCTGCTTACAGTTTACATAATGACAATACCAAGCCATGACTTTCATCCCGACAATTATTCATGCAATTTTTGCTGTGATTTTGAAAAGCCGCAGATGAAGCAAGACTTTAACCAACGACTAACCAAACTCTGCTGTCATGGTGAACACATGTGAAGACTGGTTGATTAATACAACATACTTTTCACATTCATACCGCAAAAGTCAAAGATAATGATTTTAGCCTGAGTGATAAAGGGGTATAGTATACTTTTCAAACCAGGAAAATTTCAGTCTTCAGGTGCACATTGCTTTCTCCAAAAGTTCCTGTAATTGGCCATTTTGGTATGCCTCTGCAGAAAAAAAATTCATGAGAAACCTCACACTGCACATTTTCAAAAGCTACAACTTACGACAAAAAAGTGTTGTACAATACAAACTGCAAAACAGAGAACTCAACCTACAAATCAAATATGCAAAAGAGTGTGAAATACAATGTATCGTGTTAAGAATAAAGTATACAATATGTCAATATTCCTAGCTACATGCTAAGAAAAAAAATGAGGGCATGAACCATGAGAACCATGAAAAAATGTGCGAGGATAAGTAAGTACTTTTTTGTAAGTGGAAAAATGATGGTATTAGTTAATTAACATGATTAGTTGTTGCAAAGGTTTAGGTTGAAACCTCAAACCTTGAGACTAGATTCAAGGCTTTAACAAGATCGTAGAGACCAACCGAGCTAACCTCCCATTTGTATCAACAAACACTTGCTAAAAATCAGATTTAGCACATCATAGATCTTTAGACTAAAAGGTTTTCCTTTCTCTAGATTTAAAAAAAAAAAAAATTAAAGGTTTATCTAACATTATTAAATAAGAGAATCAGGTCAAGTGAGGTCTCAACTCAACAGTTAATATACTTCTTTGGTAAAATAAATAACAAACCCTGTAGTTTTTTTTTGCCCATATGAACCTCATAGTTAACTAGATAAAAAAGGTAGAATAAATCTAAGAATTAGATATGCCCAGAAAATGTGTATCATATTTGAAACACTGTGCTACCAACCCTGTTCTATATAACATTCTCACAATACTGGAATACTTCACATGCAAAACCTATTTCTTAGCTCGTCTACCACACTAGCATTATTGATCACATAAATTGCATATCATGGCATAGAAAATGAAATCAGCATATGTCATAAGAAACACAGACTTGAATTTCTTGAATGTGCAGTCACATAAATCACTGCATTTAGAATTGCAAGCACAGACAGATATTTGATATATTAAATGATTCTCTGACAGCAATCACACTTAATCCTTATGATGAGATCACAGGAAGTTTACATGATTCCAATTCTAACAATACATTCAAAATTTCCATTTTTGTTATATCACTATGTCAGACCATGTCAAATTGTCAATATATAACAATAAAATGGAAACCAAGAAACACAGTTAGTAACATTCAAATATCCCTGGCATGTGGCGGTCCATGTTTATGATAACTCATATGAAAATGGCCACAGAGATACTAAAGATTATAAGAACCTACAGATGCCACAACCTATTGAAGCATCTATTTATTGGACTGGGTTGAGTTTATTTGGTTTAACATTCTTAGATGCAGAAAAATTGAGAAATTTTCATAATTTTTTTACTCGTTCACATTTATTTTTTTAATTGCATTTTCTTTCTAGAAAACAGTCCCTTTTCATCCATGACCAAGTTATAAATTATGCAGTGCTCTAATTATGCATCGACATATTGTAGAAAGATCAGGCCAGCCTTGTTTTATCAAAATGTTGCAAAAATGAAAATAAATATATTAATTTTGTCAAATTCACAAGCATAACAGGCCTTTTTTTTTTTTCTTTTTTTTTTAAAAATCTTTGGCTTGGCTTCTTAACCTAACAATGTAACCAGTGTCACTTAAGGTGAGAAGAGGATCACCTTCCATCATCCCCACCACAACCAAAAGACCATTCTCCTTTCTCTATGTCCACCTTCACTTAGGAAGCCTAATATCAGGACCTACAGAAAGCTTTAGTCATCCCTAATGAGAATATTTCCAAAAAATAATGAACTGTTAATAACATGGCCCACACCATCCATTTTGCTACATGGGTGTGCATGTCTGTGGATACATAGGTGTATATTTTCCATTCCGTTTTTTGGGGAGGGGGGTGGGGGATGGGGGAGGGGTACAATACTAAATATGGTGCTCAAAACAAGTGGCAATACAATAACATCTATAACAATTTCTACTGCTTAGAAAGCAATTTAAGCAATGAAATGAAGTTTTCTGATGGTCTTATACCTAGGCGCTAGGCCTCATATATTTAGCAGAAGACTAAGAGTAAACAATAGGATATGGTAGAAACAGATTTCAAACAATATTAAAGCAAAACTAACAACTTACCAATGGTAATGTCACAACCACCAAAAAATTCTCCTTCAATATACAGTTGTGGAAAGGTAGGCCAGCTTGAGTATTCCTTCAACCCCTGACGTAGCATTTCATTCTCCAGTATGTTTATTGTTTCAAAAGGTACATTCAAAGACTTTAATATCTGCACAACAGTATTTGAAAACCCACACTGCGGGAAATCCTTTGTTCCCTTCATAAAAAGAACCACCTTGTTTGATGTCACAACTTTATCCAGTGTATCCTTTAGCTGAGGAGTCAGAGCTGCAAACACACAATAAAGAGGGTCAGCAGCCAAAACTAAATACGTGTCTCATCACCTCTAGAAGTCAAGAACCAAAAAAAAAAAAAAAAATTGGAAACAAAGTAGTTCACTTGACTTAGGCTGTTTATAAGTCATTACAATCATAATTAGATTATATCTAGTTCTTGATCTTACTAATATATTTCTTGCATTCTTATAATCAAATTTCGTAATAGTATCAGAACAATTTGACAAAAGCAGCAATCTCTATCCAGGAAGTGAGGATAACATTCTGGGTCTAATTATATCATGGAATTGACATTCTGGGTCTAGACGACACAGAATAAACAAGAACCTTCCACATTCTAACAAATCTGAGACTCAAAAGTTCCTTGTTGCAAAGGAACTCCTAGGATTTAAGCAAGATTTGTTGTAAATTGGAACTGATTGTTAATTTGTCCTCAAATGTAACGAATCACAATTAGCAAGCACACAGTGAAAAGACTACCGATAAGAAGAAGAAATCAGTAGTAGCACTGAAAAAGAGGAACTAGAAGTGAATACCAGAAGAGGAACAGCGAATGGAAGGAACCCTAGCAATGGACTTGGAGTTTCTGAGAACCAAGAAAGGATGGTGAGTGCCGGCAAAGGATAGCGTCCGGAGAGGAAGAGTAGTGCTCCTTAGGGAGAAAATCCTGGGGAGAACCACGGCGGAAGAGGAGGAGGGTACGGCAATCGTAACTGAGGTCAAAGCCATCGTCGCCACTCGCCCCTTCCCAGTGAGAATGCCGGTTACGCCACAGCCACCAACACTGCGGGATTTTTTAGGCTTCGTCCGGAACTATTCGAGGTAAAATTACATTTTATGCCCCAAACTTTTTCATTTTTAACAAAATTTCGATAGTCCTCAATCTATACTTTTATCTTGACAGAATCCCAATATTTTTATTCAATTTCAATGAGATTCTCCATCTATTTTTTCCCTGTCCTTTTTCGCCTTTTCAATTTAATTTCCTGTCGGTTGGCTAGAATCAATAGTCAGATGAACTTGGAGCTTAGTGATACTCTTTTCTTTTAAGAAATAGAGTTCTTAAATTCAAGTTATGTTGCCATTTGAGATAAGAAAATGGAAAAGAAGACCTCTTTCTTGTTAGAATTGATCGATCATAGGTTCTAGAAGAATGAAGATATTTTGCTAAAATTTGATAATTCTAAAATGATGAAGAATAATACAAGAATTTCTAGGGTGTATTGATGTTGTTGTAGGAAAAATTAGAGGAATCTACCTTCTTGGCTAATGTGATATCCTCACGCTGCAAAAAATTAGTAAATAGAAAGGGTATAGACTAACTTAATTGAATTCAAACGTTATATCATTGGCCTTAACAGAAAGAATGCGAGGGGAAGAAGCTAAAGCAACTCTCACCAACGTTGTTGAATATCGCAAATGAAGAGATGAATTTAGGTCTAGATTAAAAGAAAGTTCTTAATTGCAAGTGCAGATGAATTTGGGTCTAAATGAGAAGAAAGTTCCGAGTTTCAAATGCACTAATAAATTTGCTAGCTTGTAATATATATATATATATATATATTATCTTGAATTGCATAATAAAAAAATAATTTTTTTTATTTTTTAATTCATTTTACTGATATGTTATGCGATTTAAATATAATACTTTTTATTTCTATTAAAAAAAATTACTATTAAGTTAATTTAGGTTGTTGACAAGTTTATAATATATTAGAATTACCTTGAGTTCATTGCACAAAGTCTAGACATAAGAGGAATGGAGTTAACCAATTTCTTTGACCTTGATAAGCAAAGGTTTCTAGAATATGTATGGTTGTGTATACATGAATGAAATCTCACAAAATCTATTTTCAATCAATGTTTTAGGAGATCATTTACAAGTCAAACAGTTTATAATACTATTCAATAGATATATCATAATTTATAATATAAAAAATTATTGTGTAGTTGAGACTACATTAAACTACATAATTAAAATTATGGGTAGAGAATATACGCCCCATGTATAATATCTAGAGCTGTCCGTCTTTTAACAATTTCTATTTGATAGTTTAGTATAATCCATCTTATAAAACAGGAAACTCTCTATAAAATATCCTTGCCAACAAAAGTCCAATAGACTTTTGCCATCTAGCAGAGACTGCAGGAAGTTACAGGGCCAGGTTCAAGTCTTTGCAAAAGAGAGTTAATGTTCCCTAAAAAGGACTGAAACTTTGAAGATTAGCAAAATTCCTCGAAATTTACTCGAAAGGGGCTTTGATTCTTATGATAAGAGGAATTGGCAGAAAAGAAGTAAGCAGCTTGGGATGCACTAAAGTGAGACCGTAAACAACTAATGCGTTGATGTTCTTATATACGAAGCAGACCATTTGATTAGATTTTGAGGAGTCCGTACATAATTAACTGCTTTTCTTTAATCACCCCATTTTGTAACAGTACTTAAAAATAAATCAAGATGTTTTCTTATTAAAAATATTAAAATATTTAATTATTATCATTAAATATTTGAGAAATAATATGCATTATAATTCAATCAAATTCATTATATGATTATTATTAGATATTTTAATGTTTTTAATATTAAGATGTTTTTAATATTAAGATGTTTTATTTTTTTTAAGGACACTGATATGCACACTACTACGAACCAATACCCATTTCCACACACCCGTCAGTTTAAATAGTAAAATTGGATAGCCTTCTTGACAGACTTAGGGTCTGTTTGGTTTAATTTGTGAGAGTTTTTACTTTTTTAATACTATTATGAGTGATAAGTTTAAATTTTTATTGAAAAAAAAATTTAAAAATTACTTTTAGAAATAGAAAAAAGTGAGTAAAAAAGACTAAAATGTAAGTTTATGAAAAATTTAGATTTAAAGTTTTTGAGCTTTTACTGTTT